TCAAGCAAGGAAAAGTTGTAACTTATCTTGTTGATAAGATTTAATAAATATTTTTGTGTTTATAGTCGTTTTAATATAACTGTATACATTTTTAAAATTTGGTTCTACTTACGAGTCAAAAATTTGCTTTATTTTCCAAAAGATTTTTATTCAATAGAGAGTTATTGCTTCAAATATATTAATTCTAGTGTGTCTTACAGACTAAATTAAATAAGGAATATATATGGCTGTTTTTTCTGATTTTTTCCTTTGAAATTTTGAAATACGATAAAGAATCATTAATTTTTCTGTAAACAAGGTGTCACTCATAGTTTGAGTATAAATTATAAAATTTAGTAATTTCTTTTAGATTTTATCACTTTATTCATACAATTTGACTTAAATATGATATGACATAGATGCATATACTTCATATATAAATAAAATACTTCTAATTTAGCACAAAAACAAGAAATTTCAGGTAAAAAAAAATTCAATTATTCCTTTGTAAGAATAAAGAAATGCTCAAAAATATATAATCAATAAAGTTTATTGATGATCATATCATAAAATTTTAAAAACAATAAAAATATTCAGAGTCTGTAAATTTACAATTCCACGAAAATTTAATATACAAATTAGGAACTACTAATAACTAAAAATGGAATGATCAAAAATTCGAAAAGTGCAATTATATGATTATTTTTTCAATGGATTTCAATTAGCGAATATTAAAATTGTTGGAAATAAGAAAATCATATTGTTGTAAATGTTAAATGAACGATCTACAAATATTCCATTGAATTTTCAATATGATTTATTTTTCTGAACTGTAAATTATTTGAAACAGAATTGAAAATATTTCATAACTGGTTTTAAAATAGAAATAATGACTTAAACGATATCTTGAGCTGCAATTTCTCAATTAAAATTATTAAAATTCAATCCGACAATGTCACATTTTTAAGATATTCTGATAGTTTTTTAAAAAATAATATTCCAGTCAATTTTTTCGCATTAGTATGATCCTTTGAAAATTTATTCAACTTTCAAAAATTGAAAGGTACTCAAAATTTTGTATTGAAAAAATATTAAATATGAATGCATCAAAGATCATAGACGATATAATTAGTACAAGAAAAATACGCAAAATCAAATATGTATCAAGCAAACAGATGACAGATAATCAAAAGATCCTCAATCGCTTAAGGTCAAACGGAATTAAATATGATTTAGTTATAGAGATGTTGGAATCCAATTATGGAGGAAAATTTACCATTAACTCTTTATTAATGTTCATAAAGAGCATTTCTAGTAAAATAAATAAAAGAATTGATCGATTAGCCTACCGAAATAAATCTGCGTTAATATGCTGGTGTGCAGAAAATTTGAATTCGATACTTCCATACTTGGGTAGCTTTAAACCTTTCTTAAGTAAAGAAAAAATGCAAAATGATAAAAATTCGATGAATTTTTATGAATTGCCGCAAGACAACGGTTTTGAAGTGGACCCATCTGATATTTATCAGTTATTAAATTTCCATTAATTAGTATTCATTATGTCTGTTTTCAATTGTTATTAAAAGTGACATATTTTTTCCGAATAATGCTCGACGAAAAGTGACTTTTTTTTTATAAAAATCCAATTCCCTGAATGTGAAATATAACTAGCGTTAAAATGAAATCAAATATGAATATATCTTTTATATAGCAATCTATATTCTGCAGTATAGTTTGTTTTCCATTGATTTTTTTTTTAAATTAAATCAAATTAATAAGTGTATTTATTATGTGAATTATATCCATCTGACTAGAATATTCAATATATTAGAGATTAAATTCGAAATTGCAAATTAATTAAATTGATTTTTTGATTTGAAAATTTTCCAGCTTTGTTTACCTCTAAAATATTGATTTATATATTAAATAGTGTCTTTTTATAGAAGAATTTCATTTCCTAAATTTTTTGAATTTTCTATAAATTTGTTGCTTTGAATTTATTTTACAACCATTCAAATTAATAAACGTTTTCCTTTTTATTGTTATAATTATTCAATCTGTTACTATGCTAGTATTTCATATTAAAAAATAAATATCCTATTCAAATTTTCAAAATTACTCAAATTTTAACAAACAGAACAGATGATGCTACCCCAAATTGTAGTTGTCCATAGATTGCCTCCAAAGAAAAGGATATCAACTTCATATGCGATAGAGAGAAAGAAAGTTGATGATCGCAGAAGAAAAGCCGGAAGATTGTATTTTTATATGGAAAAATTATTAAATTCAACTCCTGGAGTAAAGAATATGACTGATTTACGTAATTTAACAGCTTCCATAGCAAGCCTATTAAATCTCAAAATTGATCGTGCCGCAAAAAGATCTAAAGAGGCATTGACATGCTGGTTATGCGAAAACTGGGATAGGATACAAAATGAATATATTCCATCACCTCAAAATTTAACAAACCCGATAAAATTACAAAATTTAGAAAAATATCATAATGAAACACAGAACGAAAATGAAAAAGTTGCTGATATATTTGATATTAACGATGACTTATTCTCAAACTTATTGTTTGATTATAATAATGAAGAATTTATTGATCAATTCATTAATGAAGGTCTTTCCTTTATTTAAGAAGTATACAAATAGTCAACAAGCAAGAACAAGAAATCCTCTGTATTAGATAATACTTGAATAAATACTGATATTTTTCTAAGCTGACGTTTGCTTCAATAAAATGCATTTCCAAAGCTAAAAGTTTTTGTTTCGCCCCTTTCAGAATTTATTCTTGAAATCTTAAAAATATTTTTAAAATATGTCCAAATATACATTAAAATGTAGTTTAGAATTTCACTTATATATAGTTTAAACATATAAATAATCAATTTCTAAAAACAAACTAATACTTCATAAAATTTCCAATATGTGAACTTAAAAAGGTGATGCAGCACGAAATATTAATTAACACATTCAATGTATAGTATATTTATTACTGTGAAAACGGATTTTTTATAATTTGTTGTTAAAATAATGTTTTCAAATTTTTAATGATCCAACTACGCTAAAATAATGCTTGATATGAAATGTATCAAATCATGCATATATGATCAATCTCATTAAGTACTAAAAATTGAATAATATTAATATAAGATAGTATTTATAATTTTATCTCTATAATTATATTCTAAAGCTCTTCCATTACATGCATTTCATCATTTTCTTCTTCATTTTCATTTTTATTATCAGAAGAATCCACCTGATCATTCGCTTCCGGTTTGGAATTCTTCCAAATTTTATATAAAGGAAATGCGTCAACAGCGGCTAACAAAACAATACCAATACCGTATGTAATGGAGTAGCACCACATGATTCTAATTGGATTAGACTTATCCGTATAATACAAAATAAAAGCAAAAAGAATAATTGTAACTAAGTTATTAAACAATGATATAATAATTGATGTATAAGCCCATTGGATTGCTTGAAGGAAAGCTTGTCCAATGAACTTACCGAACATAGCAACGGACATACCGTTGATGATACTGATCGCTTCACTTGCATATTTCAAAAATTTGTCACTTTTTCCGAACAGTTTTGCCAACGGTCTTGGAATTGCCCAGGAAACTATTGTTGCGAACAATCCCCAAACAACAGATAACCATACAGCATGGAATGTAAGCCACAATATTCTTGAATTTTCATGTTTCTGATATGCAAAAGATGTTGCCGGAATCTGTGCTTGTGTAATTCCGGTGAAAATTGCAATAACAAGTGCTTGGTATCTGAAAGAACAGATGTAGCCACTCATAACTTCATTGTATGCTGGTTCTGCCATGTTAAGACATGCGTTTCCGATGATTTTTCGGACAATAATGGCAGGAATGATGGCGGAAAGCTGAGCAAGAAGTTGACTGAGACCAATCTTCATTGCAATGCCTAAATATGGCGATGGCTTTGGAATAAGCATCTTGAGAGTTGGCTTTGAAGTGAACTTTCCGCAGAAAATAGAACTGCAAAAGTAATTCCGGTGATTGATTCACTTAAAATTGTAGCTAAAAGCGCCAAGCATTCCGATCTTGCAGCAAATAAGAAAATAGGACCAAAGAAGCACATGTTAAGACCTAATGCTGAATAAGTAAAATTGACGACAACCAGTACGACCTTCAGCGATTAACAAACCAGTTTCAGCATATACATAACAGAGAAAAACGCACATGATGAAAGAGGACCAATATACTTGTATCCTAATTCAACAATTGGTTCTGAAGCTCCGAAATCTTGCAGCTGCTTTGAGGTTAGGTACTAGGATGGCAGGAATGACTATATACCGAAAAGTAAACTTAATCTGAATATATCTGCTGATAATTGATGAACTTCATTGTCTTTGTTTTGACCGAACAGCGCCGAAATTTCAGCGGATGCTGCTGTTGTAAGGAAGAATCCAAATGATCTACCCATAGAATCGAAAACTGCATACGTTGAGATGGCTGATAATCCTTCTTCACCGACAGCGAGAGAAATATAGAAAGTTGTAATAATACCATACGCGGCATTGATAATTTGACTAATAACAGGTCCGATGGCAAGACTAGTTATTGTTTTCAACGGGGGTCTACCACCTAATCTCCAAGTTTTATCTTTAGTAATCTTTACAGATACACTAAGTTCTTCATCCGAATCTTCGGATTTATTATTTTTAACGACTTCGGGAGTATCGTTACTACTAGTACTTTCAACCTTTTCACTCATTTATTTTTATAAAGCCATGAAAAAAATTTAAACTCCTCAAAATAATATGATAAAAAGTATGATTATATAATGAATATCTTATTAAAATTTAATGTTTCTATGAATTCAATATTTTGAATGCTTATTCTCGTGAATTCTTTTATCATTTCAATTGTGGTATATTTGATCGTTATGGTCCTTCATGCGTTTTATTCGTTACAATCAATTTCATTTCGCTATTCGCTTCATTAACTACTTATATCACTAAGTGGCCGACAGTAGTTTGCATGATATTGTCTGCAATTTGCTATGTTTGGAACGGAACAGTAGTTTTTGGTTGCGGTACATTTGTAAAACCTTTGTATCAAACATTAGTTCTCGCAGGTTCCATTATAGGCGTTGTTGTTTCCCTTGCTTCGATTGTTCCAATTGTTTTAGAAAAATCATGGCCAATTACGTTCTTTATTTTCTTTGGCGGCGTAACATTTGTTTCTCTTTTACTTTCAGAACTATTCATTAAGAGAAGAATTAGAAAGGATCTTGCAACTCTTGATGAATATGAAAGCACCGGCAATTTTGAAATCATTGGCTCAAAGAATAAATTCAGACAATCAGTATGCACAGGATTCACATATGGACATAAAGTTTGCTTAGACTTTTCAGTCTTTAAAGCAGCCGCTGAAAAGTGGTCGGATGATTTAGATGTTTGGGTTATTTATGCAAAATTTACAGCTTTATATCCAGAGATGTCAAGTACATTGCAATTCATTGGAAACATTCTGAAGAACATGGCAAAGAAGAATCAAGATGCAGAGTATTACCTCTCAAATATTGGTCAAATTATTAAAACAAGAGAAACAAAGTTCACTCCGCAATTGAAGTCTAAAATTGCCAAATTGCAAAAATTATTCGATAAATTGAAGAATAGACTGAGAAACATTTGGGATTTGGTATTACAAGGCAACACAACAGAATTAGATAGCGTTATTAGATCAACATATGAAAGCATTGAAACATCTGAGCTAGAAATCAATGAATTACTCATGTTGTATCCTAATAACAGATTTGTTGCGAGACAATATGCCAAATTCCAACCGGAACTTAAATCAGATGCTATCATGTTCAGAAAATGGAATGAAGATATCAAGTTGCTACAAAAAGGAATCCAAATTCATCCTGATACATTACATGAACTTGGATTTATTGCTTTTGATAATATTCCTGATCATTGCAATGAATCAATTTCAACACCAAAAGTTGCAACAACAGGAACTGAACAAAATACGATTGGCATGGATGAAATTAATGCTTATGATGAAGACTTGGATTATCAGCAAATTGCAAACATTAAGTCTATGATTGATAATAACAAGATCCCTGCAATCCAATACATGTACAACTCAACAATTTTTGCCTTTATTTGCATTATTTTCGTTCCTTTCCTTGTATTATTAGGATTCTTCTTTTATTTAGATAGTACAATTACTTATCCATTATCTCTTATGTATGGAATTTCATATATGAGAAACTTAATCAACATGTTACCACCAATGTTAACAAAGTTTTTAATGAAAATGATTGATGATCCGAAGATCCCTGGAACAAAATGTATGACATTGATTGAATTGAATGATGATTTCCCAATGAATGCCTTTGGTGGATCAAAAGATTCTAAAATGATCATTCAATTTTTAAACATGCAAGTTGCAGATGCTAACTCAATCATAACTCCATTAAGAAATTTCGAAATTGGCAATAAATATATGGAGAAAGTAAGGGATCTCGTTTTTGCACATTCTCACGAATTCTACTTCTACATGAATAACACATATCGTGAGGTATCAATTGCAAATATTGGACAGATTGCATATATGGTAACAAACCATATTTCCAAAGTAATTGGTCTCTCTTCTTTTGATAATACAGTTCCAAAAGGATTAGATACAATTACAGCAAAGAACAACAACGCTGGATCAACAGAATCTCTTACAGAAGCTGTTGAAAACATTATTTCCTATATGACAGATGTTTCAACAAGAAATCATCGAATTCTTATTTATTTAAGAGTTGCTTTGATTATTCTTGTTTTTATCATTTACTTGATCATTGTTACAACTCAAATAAGAAAATTAAGAAATGATAAAATTGTAATATATGGATTACTTTCAAGCTTACACAAGACAGTCATTTCAAATATTTCCTATTCATTCACAAAGTTACAAAGAGAAGCAACAGCAACTACACAATCATTAGGAAGTATCGCTGAGATTGAACACAACAGACAGGAAGAAAGCATCATTAAACTCTTCTCTTCTATTAATGATGAACAATCAAAAGCATCAGTTGAAATGTACAATTTATTCAACTTTCTGTTTATTGCAGTAGCTGGAATTATTGGTTTTTATTTCATCATTGAAAGTTACTTGGATGCTTCAACAGAAGTTGTTAATAATTGCTATCATATCGACTATATGTATGGAAGTATTGCTCATATTTACAAGGTAATGTCAAATGTTTTTGATCTTGTTTGGGAACATTATGATAGTTCATTCCAAAATATTTGTGTCAATGAAACAGTTTCTTTACAAGAAATCAATGCAAGTTTACCTATTGTTGCAAATTACTTCCAATTGTTAACTTTAGGCGGTCCAAATCAGATTCCATTTTCAGGAATGCAAGAATCTGTTGACGATGCATCACAAACCATCAAATGCGGAAATATCTTAACTCCTCCAAAGATCATCCCAACAAGTGCTCATTGCTTCTCAGCTGGAGGTCAATTCTACCTCATGAACATGTTGATGAGAAGATTCTATGGAATGATGACAGCTGAAAATCCAGTTTATGCCCTTCCAAAAGGTGATGGAATAACATATACATGGCAAATCGGCGCAATAGAGTTATATGAAGCCTTCTTTTATAGAACAGGAATGAATCTTGTATCAACAATTAAGGCAAGTGTTAATTCAGAGTTCAAACCTTTAACTGAATATTGTTTCATTTTCATGATTATTGCAGCAATATTCTCAATTAATGTTTTGAGATTAACAAGAAAAGAAGAAATTCTACTTAAGTTTACGATGAACTGCTTATTGAAGTGCAATTCACAAATTTTATTATCAAATTCTCATATTATTGATGTTTTAGGCGGTAACTACGAGAATGTTGTTGATGAAACAATAGACAGAACACAATCATTCCATAATGAAGTTGTCAATAAATTGGATGATATTATCATTGTTTGCAGAGAAGAAAATAATAATGTTATCAATGTTAATACATCATTTGAAGAGATGTTTAGAATCAAGCAAGAAGAGATTGAAAACAAAGATGTTAAGACTTTCTTCATGGATGGAAAATTCACATCTGATGATAAAATTGAAAAGGTTATTTTATCAGGTGGTCGACTTATTTATACAAAACCAACAGGAGAAAAGGTTTATTTAGACTTTTCATCACAATATGTTGCTGGAAGAAGAATTTATTCCGGAATAAATCAGACACAAATTGTAATGCATGAGAAATTAATTGTTGAGGAAAAGAAGAAATCAGATGCAATGTTAGCAAGTATTTTGCCACCAATGTTAGTTACTCGTGTTCAAGCAGGAGAAAAGAATATCTCTTTCGCTGTTCAATCAGTTACTGTTTTGTTCTTAGATGTTGTAGAATTTACTCCATGGTGTGGCTCTCATGATGCCCAATATGTAATGAGAATGCTCAATATCATGTACAAAGAATTTGATGTAATTACTAATGCTCATTTGAAAATGACAAAAATTAAATGCATTGGTGATTGCTATATGACAGCTGGAGGTATCTTTGATGAAATAAACCAACCAGCTGTTCATGCAAAAGAAGTTGTTGACTTCGGTTGCAAAGTCATCAAGAAACTTGAAGAAATTGATGAAAGGGAAAATGAAAAGCTTAGAATCAGAGTTGGTATTAACACTGGCGGTCCAATTGTTGCTGGTGTTATTGGAACAGAGAAACCAACTTTTGAAATCTTAGGTCCGGCTATTAACATTGCTCATGAAATGGAAAACAAAGGTGTTCCAATGAAAGTTCATATTTCACGTCCTGTCTATGAACTAGTTTATGGACAAAACTTTGAAATCAAAGAAAGAGGTGAAATTGATGTCAAAGGATGTAAGATGTTTACTTATTTAGTTGAACCATAAGAAATTTATAATTTATTTTTGTTTGTATTATGACACTTTAAAATACTTTCTATAAGTAACTTTTTGCAATATCAATTTTAACTCAAAATCTTACTATTAAAAATTGAGATTGTTATTACTTGTCTTAGAACACCAATAAGTATCGATTAATCCATATTATATCATTTCAACAAGGTATCTATACTCAAAATTACAAAAAATATATCTGATTAAGGGTGAATTTTTTGTCACTTTTAGTGTAATATACTCTTTTTTCCCTCCAAGTTTAGATTCACAGAGTTAACTTCAAAATATGCAACTCCATTATGATACAAAACACAAACCATTATAAGAGCTCTATAAAATGAATGGAATTATCTGTTGTCATAAAAAGATCACAATGGGAACCTCTCAAATCTATCATTTTCAAATAAAGTAACATTTAAATTAAAAATCCGGAAGGAACGAAAAATCGCAAAATTATTTTTTTGGAATTTATCGAAAAATCAAATCATTTGATGGGCAAGGAATGCTTGAACTGTTAAGTGAAATTGTGAAATGTTATATGATAACTCTCATTTAAATTTTGTTAAATTTGATTCTTCTCGGGGTGGTTTTAAAAGATTTCTTATTGTGATACCAAAAATCATGAACTGATAACTCCTGGTCTAAAGAAAACACAATAATCTTTTGAGATTGAGGAAAATTGGGTGTACATCATTTGAAAATCAGCATAAATGAGATTTATTTTAGGCTTGATATCAGTTGTACATTATCATCGAAACCTCTATATTAATATAAATTAAAAACTGAAATTTACAAGATTGAGAGCTCATCTGAAAGAATAAATATTCAAAACTTTATTCCCTATTATAGAATTCTATTCTATATTTTTAACAATTTAAGAAATTTTTGTTTCTGAGGGTTTCAAAAATTTCATAACAAAAAGGTGCCATTTTATGAAATCCGATTTACATTTAGTTGATCAGATATATATAACTTAGTATGATAGTTAAAAATACAAAAAATACATTAAATGTCTTGACACCTTTATTTTTTTGAATAGAAAGCTGTAAAATTAAAAATTAGATAAAAAATTTAATTAATACCAGTTGTAGTTCTTGAAGATTTTCTATTCAATTGAATTTTCAATGGAAGGTTTTTGGTTTGAATATTGCAATAAAATATATTACCATATTCAATGTATTATAATATTTTTAAACCATCATTTGGAATTTTACAGCATATAAAATTGTTTAGCTGTCAAAACTCCTGTATAACTGAAATTAAGATTTACTGATATTTTTAATAAGCTATTAATTTTATTATAAAACATGTCTGCCAAACTCATCGGAAATCAAATTTGAAACAACTCTCAAATTCTAAAATAATCGTTAGGATTTGCAATTTCGTTAATGAATTCATCAGTTCAATCAAGCTTACCTTCATTTCAATATTCGATGACTGATTCTTCTTCGAAATATGATGGGTTGCTACCTCCAAGCAAGAAAAAAATCTACGTTATGCAAATCACAAACTTGCTAAATTACATGGATTCCATTCTTCCACCCTTTCTGGGATTGCACAAAGTCATGTCAGCAATAAGGGCTTTTCAACTATTTGGAATTCTTTTGTGCACAAATTCAAATTTATTATTTCCGAAAGGCACTGTACTTTATAAGTTTTTTCAACTATTGTTCAATCTTATGGAACTTTGTTCCTATAGAATATCGCGATGTATCATCATTTTACATTGTTGTTATTTATTGTTTTGTAAATGTATCATTTGTCATATTTATTTCAGCAAGCTCATATTATTATCACAAAACAGGAACAATATCAACTACGATTGTATACATGATTCACTTCTACGTTTCAGTTGTTGGGTATATGATTCATGCTCCAGTGCTAGAGATATGTTTTGAGATTGTTGGTGGCATGATCAATGGCGATGAGTTGCATTTCGGTTTGGTTTACAACATTTTCAATATCATACTAACAGCAATCGGTTACTTTTCTTATTATTTTTTCTACAGAATCACATATTCTTATACATTTGTATTCAGACCAACTTCATTTCAATGTGTTAATGGTATGCAACAAATAATTACCATATATGTCTGCTATTTTCAGAGTTGTTTCATAGGATGTCTTAGTTATTTAAGTGTCACAGGTCAGATCATTGTATATTCACTGCAGACCATATTAGTTATATCAGCTATTTACAGCTTATTCTTGAAATTCTCATTTGTTAACTTATTTCATAATACTTTATTCCTAACATACATTACTTTCTCAACTTCATGGATGGTTGTGTGCGTAATCATGATTTTACTTGGATATTCGATGCCCGTTGCCGGACTTTTTATTTGGGTCTGTGTTTTATTCGTTTATTTCATAATCTGCCATTTTATTACGCAAAAAGTTTACAAAAACCGTTTATTATTTTTAGATAATTTATTTGAAGATCCACATATGATTGATAATGGTGATAAAAGTGACAACTATTTATACACATCTGCATTGATCGGTTATCATTTTGGTCATCCAGCGGCAATGAGTTTTATAATTTTCAAACATTTGACAGAAAAGAATCCAAATTCAAGTTTGTATTGGGTTACGTATGGAAAATTCGTTTCAATCTATCCAGAACTATGTGATGTACATAACTACATTGTTCGCAAGATAATACAGAACAAAATAAAAGGAATTTCTGCAAGACAATGTTTGATGACATCAAAAATAATTTTCACAGAAAGAGAAACAAATTTGACATATGAAATAAAGAAGAAAATCAATCATGTAACAAAATCTGTTTTACAATGTAAGAGAAGATTAAGACAGATATGGGACCAAGTAATACAAAGCAACATAAGTGAAATGGATGGTTCAATTTCAAATGCATTTGAAACGATAAATAAAGTTGAAAGTGAATTCAATTTATTATTGACACAAATTCCTAACAATAGATTTCTTTACAGAACTTACTCAACTTATTTATATGAAGTAGCAAATGACATCAATAAATATATGCTGATTTCTGATCAAACGAAACTAATGATTCGAGGAATTCGTTTTCAGAATGATCATACACAAGAATTAGGATTATTAGCATTTCCTAACATGCCAAGATTCATTAATAATACTTCTAGTTTAGCAAAATCAAATGATAGTGAGAATGTTTCTTTTGTTGTTGAAGAGAATTACGATGATGAACAGATTGGTTTGAAAATTGAAGAAAACAATACAATTTCAGATATGATAGAAAAACTGAAATTCCCTTCATTGAAAATGATCAGAGTTTCTATGCTTGTTTTATTCATTTTCACTTTAGTTTTCAGTATTTTGTTCATTGTTCTTTTGCAAAACTACAAAGATGGTTTGAGAGAAATAGAGGAAATCTCAGAAGCAACATCATATACAAGATTCCATTTGACATTAGCAACTACAATCTCTCATTTCAATTTAATTTTTAATTTTTCGGGCTTCACTTTTAGATTTATTAATAATGAAAGTGATTCTGATTTACAGATCAAATATTCATTGAGTGAAGCACTAAGATACATCCAAATATTCAATGAATACAAAACTAAATACGAAGGAAATTATTACATTGATAATGTCAGAAATTTGTTGTTTGAAAGTAATTTTAATTTCACAACATTCCCTAAAAATATTCCGAGAGTTGAAGTTATGTCAGTGTCAGAAGGATTGGCGAAAATTGCCAGATATATGGTTGATGTTGTAGAGAACAAAACTTATTTATCTAATGAAATGAGATCGAGTTATTATAATATCTGGAATTTGACAAATCAAATTTCATTTGGAACCATGAATATAACAGGTTTTATTGATGAACGAGTTAATAATATGAAGAATATTTCATTGGGTGTGTTTTATTTGTTATTGATTGTTTTCTTTATTGTTTTCATTATATTAGGAAGTCTTTTTGTTTATTACCTGAAAAATGACAAAAAGAATGTTTACAAAACTTTATTGGTTTTGCCAAAAAATGTCGTTTCTCAAATTTCTGAAAGCTTGAGATCAGTCAAGAAAGAATCAAGTGCAAATACTACATCAACAAGTCATCTATCTAATGATGTTGAACATAATAGACAAGAAGAAAATCTTCTTAAAGTTTTGAACACTGCAAGTGATGAAGATTATCATTCGCATTAAAATTTCAACAAAAATTTTGTTTGTTCTTTTTGCTTTGTTGAGTGTTATGTCATTTTTACTTGCAAGAATGTATATTTCTCAAGGCCAAATTATAGATGAAAACTGCCAACATGTTGATAATTTAATGACATTAGGTTCGTTCATTAATTTATTGTTTTTGTTTACTAACGAAATTTATTCAACAGTTATGAAACGTCAATTTTTAATAACAAATAACTTGAAACTCACAATCACTAACGTTAACAGAGTCATTGATAACGTTACTGATTATTATACAGCATTAAGATTCGGATATGATTTAGGAAAACCTTTCCCTGACTTTCAAGGATTAATGAAGGTTGCATTGGAAAGATGTCATCGTGGAGAAATGCCAAAGACTTATTTAGAAACTTTTAATTGCATGGATGGGGATCAATTGATCAAATATGCTTCTCATTTCGTTCACTCTTGTGTTGATATTGATGTTAATGTTGCTCCTATTTTCCCTATCAATACAAATAGGTTAGAAGCCGGTAATATATTGTTTGTTTATAGATTGAATGATGAAGTATTATTCAGAGGAACTAAAGCATCAAGAACATCTATCGATGATTTATTACATTCAAGTTATCAAGTTTACTTGTCATCTATTATTGTTTTGTTGATTGTTATTTCATTTTTATATATGTTCGTTTTTATCATTTGTTCAAAGATCGAAAAGAAGTTGAAATTCACTTTGAAGTTGTTACTTTCTAGTGCCAAGACAGCTATTCAAAACAGTTTTGTCTTGAGTGTTTTGTCAGGACATTTTGCAAGATCAAGTGTGGATTCAAGTATGAGAGATGATGCGTTTTATGATAATTTGGTTGATAATTTACCCAATGTGATAATAGTTACTCAAAATAGCAAAATAATATCAGCTAATAAAGCTGCAAATGAATTGTTTAATGATGATAAACTCGTTGGACAAACAATTTCCGACTTATTTTCTTCATTTTCTCCTGAATCAGAAGCAAAAATGAAAAATTTATTCGACACAACAGTTAAAACCGCAATGGTTAATGTCAGAAACAACAATAATACCACTGACAAACAGTACTTACAGATAACTAGACTATCACACGTTAATAATGATAATATTTCAGTGTTCAGAATCACAAACAACACTCAGATTTATTTGTATAATAAATTGATTTTGGAAGAAAGATCAAAAAGTGACAAATTGCTATCGTCCATTCTTCCATCATCATTAGTTCCAAGGGTTCAATCAGGAGAAACAAATATCTCATTCTCTGTACCAACATGTGCTGTTTCTTTCATAGATATTGTCGAATTCACCCCATGGTGCTCAAGTAATTCCGCTCAAGTTGTTACCGGAGTTTTGAATGACATTTTCTCGAATTTCGATGCAATTGTAAAAGAATTACAATACATGGAAAGAATTAAATGCATTGGAGATTGTTATATGTCATACTGTGGTGTTTTCAGCGATGTTCCAAATGCTTTGACTTTCGCAAGAAATATTGTTGATTTTGGATTAAGAGCAATTGATGCTATTAAGAATATAAATGAAACGAGAGAAACTAATCTAAGAGTTAGAGTTGGAATACACATTGGTGGACCTGTTGTTGCTGGTGTTATTGGTGTTGGAAAACCAACATTTGAGATCTTTGGTCCTTCAATTTCTTTCGCTCAACAGATGGAACATTCTGGAGTGCCGATGAGAGTTCATGTGTCAAGAGCGATATATGAATTGATATATGGAGGAAATTACAAGATAGAAGAAAGAGGAGAAATTCAAATCAAGCAAGGAAAAGTTGTAACTTATCTTGTTGATAAGATTTAATAAATATTTTTGTGTTTATAGTCGTTTTAATATAACTGTATACATTTTTAAAATTTGGTTCTACTTACGAGTCAAAAATTTGCTTTATTTTCCAAAAGATTTTTATTCAATAGAGAGTTATTGCTTCAAATATATTAATTCTAGTGTGTCTTACAGACTAAATTAAATAAGGAATATATATGGCTGTTTTTTCTGATTTTTTCCTTTGAAATTTTGAAATACGATAAAGAATCATTAATTTTTCTGTAAACAAGGTGTCACTCATAGTTTGAGTATAAATTATAAAATTTAGTAATTTCTTTTAGATTTTATCACTTTATTCATACAATTTGACTTAAATATGATATGACATAGATGCATATACTTCATATATAAATAAAATACTTCTAATTTAGCACAAAAACAAGAAATTTCAGGTAAAAAAAAATTCAATTATTCCTTTGTAAGAATAAAGAAATGCTCAAAAATATATAATCAATAAAGTTTATTGATGATCATATCATAAAATTTTAAAAACAATAAAAATATTCAGAGTCTGTAAATTTACAATTCCACGAAAATTTAATATACAAATTAGGAACTACTAATAACTAAAAATGGAATGATCAAAAATTCGAAAAGTGCAATTATATGATTATTTTTTCAATGGATTTCAATTAGCGAATATTAAAATTGTTGGAAATAAGAAAATCATATTGTTGTAAATGTTAAATGAACGATCTACAAATATTCCATTGAATTTTCAATATGATTTATTTTTCTGAACTGTAAATTATTTGAAACAGAATTGAAAATATTTCATAACTGGTTTTAAAATAGAAATAATGACTTAAACTATATCTTGAGCTGCAATTTCTCAATTAAAATTATTAAAATTCAATCCGACAATGTCACATTTTTAAGATATTCTGATAGTTTTTTTTTAAATAATATTCCAGTCAATTTTTTCGCATTAGTATGATCCTTTGAAAATTTATTCAACTTTCAAAAATTGAAAGGTACTCAAAATTTTGTATTGAAAAAATATTAAATATGAATGCATCAAAGATCATAGACGATATAATTAGTACAAGAAAAATACGCAAAATCAAATATGTATCAAGCAAACAGATGACAGATAATCAAAAGATCCTCAATCGCTTAAGGTCAAACGGAATTAAATATGATTTAGTTATAGAGATGTTGGAATCCAATTATGGAGGAAAATTTACCATTAACTCTTTATTAATGTTCATAAAGAGCATTTCTAGTAAAATAAATAAAAGAATTGATCGATTAGCCTACCGAAATAAATCTGCGTTAATATGCTGGTGTGCAGAAAATTTGAATTCGATACTTCCATACTTGGGTAGCTTTTTTCTTAAGTAAAGAAAAAATGCAAAATGATAAAAATTCGATGAATTTTTATGAATTGCCGCAAGACAACGGTTTTGAAGTGGACCCATCTGATATTTATCAGTTATTAAATTTCCATTAATTAGTATTCATTATGTCTGTTTTCAATTGTTATTAAAAGTGACATATTTTTTCCGAATAATGCTCGACGAAAAGTGACTTTTTTTTTATAAAAATCCAATTCCCTGAATGTGAAATATAACTAGCGTTAAAATGAAATCAAATATGAATATATCTTTTATATAGCAATCTATATTCTGCAGTATAGTTTGTTTTCCATTGATTTTTTTTTAAATTAAATCAAATTAATAAGTGTATTTATTATGTGAATTATATCCATCTGACTAGAATATTCAATATATTAGAGATTAAATTCGAAATTGCAAATTAATTAAATTGATTTTTTGATTTGAAAATTTTCCAGCTTTGTTTACCTCTAAAATATTGATTTATATATTAAATAGTGTCTTTTTATAGAAGAATTTCATTTCCTAAATTTTTTGAATTTTCTATAAATTTGTTGCTTTGAATTTATTTTACAACCATTCAAATTAATAAACGTTTTCCTTTTTATTGTTATAATTATTCAATCTGTTACTATGCTAGTATTTCATATTAAAAAATAAATATCCTATTCAAATTTTCAAAATTACTCAAATTTTAACAAACAGAACAGATGATGCTACCCCAAATTGTAGTTGTCCATAGATTGCCTCCAAAGAAAAGGATATCAACTTCATATGCGATAGAGAGAAAGAAAGTTGATGATCGCAGAAGAAAAGCCGGAAGATTGTATTTTTATATGGAAAAATTATTAAATTCAACTCCTGGAGTAAAGAATATGACTGATTTACGTAATTTAACAGCTTCCATAGCAAGCCTATTAAATCTCAAAATTGATCGTGCCGCAAAAAGATCTAAAGAGGCATTGACATGCTGGTTATGCGAAAACTGGGATAGGATACAAAATGAATATATTCCATCACCTCAAAATTTAACAAACCCGATAAAATTACAAAATTTAGAAAAATATCATAATGAAACACAGAACGAAAATGAAAAAGTTGCTGATATATTTGATATTAACGATGACTTATTCTCAAACTTATTGTTTGATTATAATAATGAAGAATTTATTGATCAATTCATTAATGAAGGTCTTTCCTTTATTTAAGAAGTATACAAATAGTCAACAAGCAAGAACAAGAAATCCTCTGTATTAGATAATACTTGAATAAATACTGATATTTTTCTAAGCTGACGTTTGCTTCAATAAAATGCATTTCCAAAGCTAAAAGTTTTTGTTTCGCCCCTTTCAGAATTTATTCTTGAAATCTTAAAAATATTTTTAAAATATGTCCAAATATACATTAAAATGTAGTTTAGAATTTCACTTATATATAGTTTAAACATATAAATAATCAATTTCTAAAAACAAACTAATACTTCATAAAATTTCCAATATGTGAACTTAAAAAGGTGATGCAGCACGAAATATTAATTAACACATTCAATGTATAGTATATTTATTACTGTGAAAACGGATTTTTTTAATTTGTTGTTAAAATAATGTTTTCAAATTTTTAATGATCCAACTACGCTAAAATAATGCTTGATATGAAATGTATCAAATCATGCATATATGATCAATCTCATTAAGTACTAAAAATTGAATAATATTAATATAAGATAGTATTTATAATTTTATCTCTATAATTATATTCTAAAGCTCTTCCATTACATGCATTTCATCATTTTCTTCTTCATTTTCATTTTTATTATCAGAAGAATCCACCTGATCATTCGCTTCCGGTTTGGAATTCTTCCAAATTTATATAAAGGAAATGCGTCAACAGCGGCTAACAAAACAATACCAATACCGTATGTAATGGAGTAGCACCACATGATTCTAATTGGATTAGACTTATCCGTATAATACAAAATAAAAGCAAAAAGAATAATTGTAACTAAGTTATTAAACAATGATATAATAATTGATGTATAAGCCATTGGATTGCTTGAAGGAAAGCTTGTCCAATGAACTTACCGAACATAGCAACGGACATACCGTTGATGATACTGATCGCTTCACTTGCATATTTCAAAAATTTGTCACTTTTTCCGAACAGTTTTGCCAACGGTCTTGGAATTGCCCAGGAAACTATTGTTGCGAACAATCCCCAAACAACAGATAACCATACAGCATGGAATGTAAGCCACAATATTCTTGAATTTTCATGTTTCTGATATGCAAAAGATGTTGCCGGAATCTGTGCTTGTGTAATTCCGGTGAAAATTGCAATAACAAGTGCTTGGTATCTGAAAGAACAGATGTAGCCACTCATAACTTCATTGTATGCTGGTTCTGCCATGTTAAGACATGCGTTTCCGATGATTTTTCGGACAATAATGGCAGGAATGATGGCGGAAAGCTGAGCAAGAAGTTGACTGAGACCAATCTTCATTGCAATGCCTAAATATGGCGATGGCTTTGAGATAAGCATCTTGAGAGTTGGCTTTGAAGTGAACTTTCCGCAGAAAAATAGAACTGCAAAAGTAATTCCGGTGATTGATTCACTTAAAATTGTAGCTAAACCAGCGCCAAGCATTCCGATCTTTGCAGCAAATAAGAAAATAGGACCAAAGAAGCACATGTTAAGACCTAATGCTGCAATAAGTAAAATTGACGACAAACCAGTACGACCTTCAGCGATTAACAAACCAGTTTCAGCAATATACATAACAGAGAAAAACGCACATGATGAAAGAGGACCAATATACTTGTATCCTAATTCAACAATTGGTTCTGAAGCTCCGAACCATCTTGCAGCTGCTTTGAGGTTAGGTACTAGGATGGCAGGAATGACTATACCGAAAAGTAAACTTAATCTGAATATATCTGCTGATAATTGATGAACTTCATTGTCTTTGTTTTGACCGAACAGCGCCGAAATTTCAGCGGATGCTGCTGTTGTAAGGAAGAATCCAAATGATCTACCCATAGAATCGAAAACTGCATACGTTGAGATGGCTGATAATCCTTCTTCACCGACAGCGAGAGAAATATAGAAAGTTGTAATAATACCATACGCGGCATTGATAATTTGACTAATAACAGGTCCGATGGCAAGACTAGTTATTGTTTTCAACGGGGGTCTACCACCTAATCTCCAAGTTTTATCTTTAGTAATCTTTACAGATACACTAAGTTCTTCATCCGAATCTTCGGATTTATTATTTTTAACGACTTCGGGAGTATCGTTACTACTAGTACTTTCAACCTTTTCACTCATTTATTTTTATAAAGCCATGAAAAAAATTTAAACTCCTCAAAATAATATGATAAAAAGTATGATTATATAATGAATATCTTATTAAAATTTAATGTTTCTATGAATTCAATATTTTGAATGCTTATTCTCGTGAATTCTTTTATCATTTCAATTGTGGTATATTTGATCGTTATGGTCCTTATCGCAATCATAATTATAGAAAAATATCTATCCTTATTTTAATCTACGTAAATGTTCGTATCAATGGCTTAAATTTTTATGATAATTCTCCATTCAAAAAATAATTATTTCAAAAAGGAATTTTAAATTTTAAATCACTATATTATTAGTGATTATAAACTTGATTTCGTAAAAATTTTTAAAAAGTGTCAATTTCAAATTTTGATCAACTTTAATTAATTGCTGAAATACTTGATATCTAATATTCATTCACAAATATTATGTTATAGTACATGAAATGTGTTGCAGTCGATATAGAATTATTAAATAGATCAGTCTATTTCATTATTTTTAATCATATTCAATCAGATTGCAATCAGATATATATATTTTCTATTACATTAGACTTACTTTTTAAATTAAGGTCAGCGTCTTTAAATAGAATTAAATAATCAAATTTATTTATCTCATATGAAATTATTCGAACTATTGATATTTACGCCTGGTAACTATCTATTTGCTCTCTCTAAAGTATATCAAAAGCTTTCTGAAAGTGAAGTTGGCAGACTTAATTTAAGAATTTCCGGTATCCAGTTAGGAATCCATCTTTTTAAAGGTCATTTAACCACTGAATCAAAAGCAACATCTAAGCAAAATGGTGCGATTCCGCCCTATTCTTGTGTGGACTCGGAGTTCTTTGCTGCTAGAATGAAGACTATCAAGATGCAAATGTTGCTTTTCAGATTGCTAAATACCAATGCGCAGTTTTTTGAGGCTTCACTCAACTTTGGCCAAGAATTCCTTTTTATTAAAAGAATGACCTCAGATTAGCCAGTATTCTTTAAATTTTGTAAAACAAAATGAAAAATAAATACAACAATATTATCAAAACAAACAAATTTTTTATTAAGAAAAAATAATTAATTTCTTTGTATAACTGTACTATTTCTTCTATGCCCTGAAGGTATTTTTCTAGCCAATAGTTGGCTCTCAACAACTTGTGACTTAAATCTTTGGTTTTGCTTTCGGGTTTCAATAACATTGGCAAATTTCGCTCTCTTGTTTACACGTATAGTGTTGAACACCTTTAAAATATCTGCGGCTGACGATCGCTCTTCAGGATTTGGATTAAGCATCATTCCTAGAATAATCGTAAATCTTTTATCAACAGTAGCTGGGATAACTATTTGAGCTTCAGTAATTTGCTTTTTAAGCTCAGTTTCGGTAGAAGCCTTGTATGGGCTCCTTCCGTAAAGGAGATAATAAAATGTTATTCCAAGAGCCCAAACATCAGCTTTAAGTGGATCGTACTTTGGACAAGAATTCATTTCTGGAGATGTAAATGGTAATGAGCCTGCAAATCGAGAAATGTATTTGCCATGTTCTGAATTTAGAGAAAGACCGAAGTCTGCAATTTTGATACGATTATATTGGTCTATTAAAATGTTTGTTGGTTTTATATCCCTATGTGTGATACCCATTGAATGGCAGGCAACTAATCCTTCGATTGCCTGTCTCATCCAAGAAAATATCAAAGAGTAATCCGGCTTTGAAGTATTTTTAACATATTCGCGTAAGCTTCCTTTTGAACAATAATCAAGAATAAGGAATAAATAGTCTCCATCGTTAAAATAAGAGAAAACGTTGATAATCGCAGGATGGTATAGTTTTGATAGAGCATTAATTTCTGCAGTATATGATTGAATATTCTTTGTCATCATAGAAATTCCAACATAACAAACCTTTGCAGCAAAATACTGATTATATTGATATGAAAAAACTTTGAAAACGCATGCAAATGCACCGTATCCAACAATTTCATCAAGTCTATAGCCTCTTTTATCTAATGCTTCTTTGATTACTTCAATGTCAATAGATGGATGACTCTCTTGGATAGATTTCATTTTGAATGGAGAAATTTTGAAATTGAAATTGTTGATTAATCAAAAAATATTTCAAATATTCTTGCAATCTAAATACCATGACAATCTTCTATTTTGAGATAAACTTTCAAAACAACAATTCAATTTTTGAATCGAACCAAAATATATCAATTATAATATCATTTATAAACGATCATAATTAGCATAAATTTGATTTCAATTTCAAAATGAAATATGGTTATTCTGATTTATCATATCATAAAAAACCTTTATCTAAAATTAAAAAGCGAAAAATTGTTAAAGATATCTTGGAGTTTTGAGAGGAACTTTTCTGAATAATTTTCAGAATAGCAGTTTTGTGAAGTTTACATCAATTTTGTTATGTTTTCAATTAATTTATCTATCAATCAGTGGATATTTCTGCCTTACCTACAATATATTAATAATATCCAAAAAACTTTGAGACGTAGATTTCTTTGGTCGACCCATTTTGTATTCAAACTTTTGCAATTTAAATTTTTTCAATGAATTATCTTATCGCCCAATTTATCTATCTAGAGCATTGCTCAACTATTCACTAAAAATCTCAGCTTCGACATTGTCATAGAAATTGAATATTCAGAAAAAGTAAATCAATGAAAAAGGGAAACTTGTCTCAAAATTCCTGTTATAATTCACTGAATTATTATTGATTCTTAAATCATTTTACACATGATTTATATTTCTTATTTTAAAATAGATTTTACTAAGCTTTAAAAACAAATTTTTGCGATTTGCTACAAAGCAATAACAGAAATAAATATGATTAGAGAAAACGAGCAGAAGTCGACATTGCTCAATAGATTTATTGAATTGTTCCAAATTTAATTTTTTATCAGATATTTTGGATTAATATCTTTACATTCTATTTTCCTAAGTCCTTCTGTTAAATCATTTCTAAAAATTCTGCCGAAATTTTATAATCATTCATTTTATGTTTATATTCTTTAAAAATTTCTGGATAAAAAATATTTTTTTTGCATAATTAAGATAAATAAGCATTTATAATGTAACAACAAATATATTTTGAGATCTCGATACTAAGCAAAACACAGGAATTTGAAGATTTTTTTCTGAAGATGCAAATAAAAAAATTGAGCAGTTAAATGCATAACAAATGATGATATATGTATATTCCGATGGTTAGTGATCGTAAAGCCCATTAAATCAATTTAAAAAATCAAGAGTTAGTCCAAACGAGCGAGACGATCTCTAATAGATTGGGCTAATTCAATTGTTTCTTTATCTGCATCAAGAGTTTTAAGAATCCTAATTAATTCCTCGGCATTTTTTGTTTCAACTTTTTCTGATGATATTTCACGGCTACGCAACTCCGCTATTATCTCATCCTTTGCTTTGATCTCATCACCTAAATATGATATTACAAATATTAAAACAACTAAAAGTATAATAGCTACAGTCCAAGGGACCATTGGTATTGCTGGTTGAATGCTTTCTGGTATTTCTACTTCTTTGTCATTTTCTACATCTTTTTCATCACCTGGCCAACGAACATTTCGTAAATTTGGACAATCATCAAATGCTGTTGGATCATATTGCTCTATAGTAGATGGTAGATATATTTCTTCGAGATTTACGAATCCTTCGAACACGTGATCTTTGATTATTGAAATACCATCGCGAATCATTATTGTTTTAATATTGACTCGATCAATATCGTTAAAATCTTCCTTTTCTAGCCAGTTATTTCCTTTCACTAACAATGTACTCCTATAAGTTTCCAGATAAACAGAACAAATTATTGAAATCAACATAATAAAAGTGACAAAAAGGTGACAATGACAACTTTTACAGCGATACACAAGCTTTTAGACGAAGCAGAGAAAGAGAAAAACGAAGAAATCGAGCAACTTAAGAAGAAAATAGCTGAACTTGAAAAATCAAAGCAAGAAGTTGAACAAAAATTGATAAAATGTGAACAGGATAAGTCAAAGATAGAAAGTAAGCTTGAAAAGACTAAAAACAAATATATCCTTAAGAAACCATATAATTTCCAGCCGGATATTATAGCAGCTGCAAGATCTGGCGACATTGATTCAATAAAATATATTTTGTATGAAAAACCAGCTGAAATATGTCATCAAGAAAGTGAAAACATGGACTCTGCACTTCATGAAGCTGTTTGGCATTCTAAAATGGAAGTAATTGAATTCTTATTGCAAAAAGGTTGTTATATTAACATCAGAAACAGAATTTAACATTGTCTTATCGTGCTTATTATTAATTTATATGCAAACGCCACTCCATTATGCAGCTATCTAATAAGCATAAGGATACCAAAGGTAATGACTCAAACAAATTTAACCTACCTGAGTTTGATGAATTTATCTTTTCAAATCCTGAAGATAGTGCTGACCCTTATAACATCAATGGGATTCAGCAAAATTTCCCTGATTTTCATTTTACGGCTGATTTAAATGATCTTTTTTAATTATCATAGAATAAAAATAGATTGGCTGGCAACTTTGGTTGTTTATATTTGTTTTTTCATTTTGAGTGGGGGTATTATCAATTAACGAAAAGATGACATACGAAAGGAAGAAATATGACTTACAATCCATGCTAATGTATAATATAAACAAATTACAAGTGGTTACAAAATCGCTGCAACGGTATTTATTTAATATCTCGAAAATATGTATGTAATGAAACTAAAATGAAATGAATTGCTCTATATCTCATAGAATGGTTATAATTAAATAAGCACCTCGTTTTATAATTGTGAAATTATCAAATAAAAAAATTCAATTTTAAAATGTTTATACAGAATTTAAATATGGTAAAATCCCATTATATTAGATGCAATAAAATTTCGACAAATTATGTTAACCACTTAAATCCATTTTCATGTAACTGAGCGGTTTAAAAAACATCTCCGCATTTAAATAACGAAAACGTGTCAAAAATATATTGTATTCAAAAGAATTTTTTCATTTTGACTGAAAATCGGATCTATCTTTTAGGAGGAATTAGTTTTCATTGAATCCTATGTAATTAGAATTGAAATTACTTTAGCGACAATTTTTCTAATCAAAAAGTGACATTAAATTGAAAAATCATTATGAAAAAAAATTCAATCGAGGTCTCAACTTTCAATGTTATCAATTTTTTGTCGTATGAACTTTTATATTGTTCGCGAACTTCTTTTTTCTAATAAGAATAAGTCTAAAAGAACGCAAGAATAAATATTTTTTGATCAGATAGATTTCGGTTTTAATTTTTATTTCAAAGTTTCTTTTTCGCTCATTAACTACAAATTAATAAACTTTACAAAGAATTAAGTTACATCGAGATCCATATCCTCTCAATTTTCCGCTTCTGAAATGGCATATGCCAGACACTTTTTCGATGCTTGTATGACATTAATATAGAAAAGCTTAACTTATACATGAACTGGAAATTTTTGCTTTGATATTTGGAAACTTAGTTTCATTTATTTATAAAAAACTAGTTCGTTTTATTGAAGATTTTTTACTGAAATTTCGATTATATAACCACGTTTTTCTTTATCCTCTTTTCTGATTTAAATCCCGTCGTAGAAAACTTGTATTAAAAAATTATCTAATCCCAACAACTTACATCAATTGTCTCAGAATTATATCCTTTCTTTATAATTTTTTTTAGCCTTTGATTTGTTAGTGAATTTATTCAAATAAGTCTTTTAACCTGAATAACTCCATTAGCATATCATAATCTCTTGGAGAGCAATGAGAATGATTAAATACTATTATTTCCCAAGTGGCCAATCAAATTGATTTAATTAAGGAACCGTTCAGTATTTTTTGGCATGTATTCGTTATGTACAAATGATTGTAGTATTGTTTGATCGAACAAAATTAAAAATAACATATTTAATGAAATTGATTTTTAAAAAAGTTGTATTGAATCAAGCGATAATTATACTCCTCTATATACTCATGATTTTGCGTATCTTTATAAATAAATTTTTAATTTCGCATCATCCTTATTTTTTAATTATTGTTATCCAGAAAAATTCAATACTATTCAATTTTGCAAATTCTCTTGCATTCAATATACAATTTTCAATTTTTAATTGAAAATTGTATTATTGAAGGCAAGAGAATGCAATTTTCTTGCACAACATTTGAATTACAATTCAAAATTGAAATTCAAAAAGTGCAAGAAAACTGCTAATTTTTAAATGCTTTTTTTGAACTTTCCTTTTTGGATAATTGTTTAATACGATATTTATAGACCATTTTTATATATTAAAAGATCGACCACACATATTTCAATGAAAATTCAAAGTGGCGTCAAAAATTTTCTCACTGGGTTTTCGTCTATCAATCCCAGCTCATTATATACGCAACCAATCAAAAATCTGATATGGGAGTCCAAGGCTAACTTTTTGTTGTCTACCTAATAAAAGAGGAAGCAGCATTAGTGAGAATAATCGCAAATATTCAATTTAAATTATCTTTTTATTCTTAATTTAAAGTGACAAAAAGAATAAAAAACCTATTCTAAGGCATGTTGTTATGTAAATGAGACTAGACATCATATTTTATGTTATGAAAAAAAATATTTAGAATTTTAGAACAAAATAAATAGAAAAAATAGCATAACTTATGGATGTGCGTATATTAAATTTAATAAATTAAGAGAAATTATTTTTGGCGCCAAAATTATTCGTTAACTCTCAAATTTTTCTGAGTCAATAAGCCGCCAAAAAGTGTCATTTTGTTTCGTTAGAGAAAGATGAATTGTCCATGTCATCCAATCGGGAACAACGGGGATGGGGATTAGATGATAAAGAAGCAATTCATGCTCTCTATCTGAAGCAATCAGACTTACCAGCAACAATGTGAATCGATTTGGCTTTAAAGTTAATATAGCAGATCAGCTTGTTACTGGAGAGACTAGGCATTACGATTGATTCGCTGTAGTGCTCTACTTTAATTTAAGAGTAGTAACGGATAACTGAATTCCCAAAATTCTTTAGGTGATCCAAAACACTGTAGCTGCTTGAACTTTGGACGAGCCTCGCACCCCAGAGAATAGAAATCCCAATCTTGCTCATGTTTAGTTGAATTAGTCTGCAGCAGTACAGCTCTGATACCAACAAACATTTTAATAGACCAATATAATCGTATCAAAATTGCAGACTTCGGTCTTTCTCTAAATTCAGAACATGGCAAATACATTTCTCGATTTGCAGGCTCATTACCATTTACATCTCCAGAAATGAATTCTTGTCCAAAGTACGATCCACTTAAAGCTGATGTTTGGGCTCTTGGAATAACATTTTATTATCTCCTTTACGGAAGGAGCCCATACAAGGCTTCTACCGAAACTGAGCTTAAAAAGCAAATTACTGAAGCTCAAATAGTTATCCCAGCTACTGTTGATAAAAGATTTACGATTATTCTAGGAATGATGCTTAATCCAAATCCTGAAGAGCGATCGTCAGCCGCAGATATTTTAAAGGTGTTCAACACTATACGTGTAAACAAGAGAGCGAAATTTGCCAATGTTATTGAAACCCGAAAGCAAAACCAAAGATTTAAGTCACAAGTTGTTGAGAGCCAACTATTGGCTAGAAAAATACCTTCAGGGCATAGAAGAAATAGTACAGTTATACAAAGAAATTAATTATTTTTTCTTAATAAAAAATTTGTTTGTTTTGATAATATTGTTGTATTTATTTTTCATTTTGTTTTACAAAATTTAAAGAATACTGGCTAATCTGAGGTCATTCTTTTAATAAAAAGGAATTCTTGGCCAAAGTTGAGTGAAGCCTCAAAAAACTGCGCATTGGTATTTAGCAATCTGAAAAGCAACATTTGCATCTTGATAGTCTTCATTCTAGCAGCAAAGAACTCCGAGTCCACACAAGAATAGGGCGGAATCGCACCATTTTGCTTAGATGTTGCTTTTGATTCAGTGGTTAAATGACCTTAAAAAGATGGATTCCTAACTGGATACCGGAAATTCTTAAATTAAGTCTGCCAACTTCACTTTCAGAAAGCTTTTGATATACTTTAGAGAGAGCAAATAGATAGTTACCAGGCGTAAATATCAATAGTTCGAATAATTTCATATGAGATAAATAAATTTGATTATTTAATTCTATTTAAAGACGCTGACCTTAATTTAAAAAGTAAGTCTAATGTAATAGAAAATATATATATCTGATTGCAATCTGATTGAATATGATTAAAAATAATGAAATAGACTGATCTATTTAATAATTCTATATCGACTGCAACACATTTCATGTACTATAACATAATATTTGTGAATGAATATTAGATATCAAGTATTTCAGCAATTAATTAAAGTTGATCAAAATTTGAAATTGACACTTTTTAAAAATTTTTACGAAATCAAGTTTATAATCACTAATAATATAGTGATTTAAAATTTAAAATTCCTTTTTGAAATAATTATTTTTTGAATGGAGAATTATCATAAAAATTTAAGCCATTGATACGAACATTTACGTAGATTAAAATAAGGATAGATATTTTTCTATAATTATGATTGCGATAAGGACCATAACGATCAAATATACCAATTGAAATGATAAAAGAATTCACGAGAATAAGCATTCAAAATATTGAATTCATAGAAACATTAAATTTTAATAAGATATTCATTATTAATCATACTTTTTATCATATTATTTTGAGGATTTAAATTTTTTTCATGGCTTTATAAAAATAAATGAGTGAAAAGGTTGAAAGTACTAGTTAGTAACGATACTCCCGAAGTCGTTAAAAATAATAAATCCGAAGATTCGGATGAAGAACTTAGTGTATCTGTAAAGATTACTAAAGATAAAACTGGAGATTAGGTGGTAGACCCCCGTTGAAAACAATAACTAGTCTTGCCATCGGACCTTTATTAGTCAAATATCAATGCCGCGTACGTATGGTATTACAACTTTCTATATTTCCTCGCTGTCGGTGAAGAAGGATTATCAGCCATCTCAACGTATGCAGTTTTCGATTCTATGGGTAGATCATTTGGATTCTTTCCTTACAACAGCAGCATCCGCTGAAATTTCGGCGCTGTTCGGTCAAAACAAAGACAATGAAGTTCATCAATTATCAGCAGATATATTCAGATTAAGTTTACTTTTCGGTATAGTCATTCCTGCCATCCTAGTACCTAACCTCAAAGCAGCTGCAAGATGGTTCGGAGCTTCAGAACCAATTGTTGAAATTAGGATACAAGTATATTGGTCCTCTTTCATCATGTGCGTTTTTCTCTGTTATGTATATTGCTGAAACTGGTTTGTTAATCGCTGAAGGTCGTACTGGTTTGTCGTCAATTTTACTTATTGCAGCATTAGGTCTTAACATGTGCTTCTTTGGTCCTATTTTCTTATTTGCTGCAAAGATCGGAATGCTTGGCGCTGGTTTAGCTACAATTTTAAGTGAATCAATCACCGGAATTACTTTTGCAGTTCTATTTTTCTGCGGAAAGTTCACTTCAAAGCCAACTCTCAAGATGCTTATCTCAAAGCCATCGCCATATTTAGGCATTGCAATGAAGATTGGTCTCAGTCAACTTCTTGCTCAGCTTTCCGCCATCATTCCTGCCATTATTGTCCGAAAAATCATCGGAAACGCATGTCTTAACATGGCAGAACCAGCATACAATGAAGTTATGAGTGGCTACATCTGTTCTTTCAGATACCAAGCACTTGTTATTGCAATTTTCACCGGAATTACACAAGCACAGATTCCGGCAACATCTTTTGCATATCAGAAACATGAAAATTCAAGAATATTGTGGCTTACATTCCATGCTGTATGGTTATCTGTTGTTTGGGGATTGTTCGCAACAATAGTTTCCTGGGCAATTCCAAGACCGTTGGCAAAACTGTTCGGAAAAAGTGACAAATTTTTGAAATATGCAAGTGAAGCGATCAGTATCATCAACGGTATGTCCGTTGCTATGTTCGGTAAGTTCATTGGACAAGCTTTCCTTCAAGCAATCCAATGGGCTTATACATCAATTATTATATCATTGTTTAATAACTTAGTTACAATTATTCTTTTTGCTTTTATTTTGTATTATACGGATAAGTCTAATCCAATTAGAATCATGTGGTGCTACTCCATTACATACGGTATTGGTATTGTTTTGTTAGCCGCTGTTGACGCATTTCCTTTATATAAAATTTGGAAGAATTCCAAACCGGAAGCGAATGATCAGGTGGATTCTTCTGATAATAAAAATGAAAATGAAGAAGAAAATGATGAAATGCATGTAATGGAAGAGCTTTAGAATATAATTATAGAGATAAAATTATAAATACTATCTTATATTAATATTATTCAATTTTTAGTACTTAATGAGATTGATCATATATGCATGATTTGATACATTTCATATCAAGCATTATTTTAGCGTAGTTGGATCATTAAAAATTTGAAAACATTATTTTAACAACAAATTATAAAAAATCCGTTTTCACAGTAATAAATATACTATACATTGAATGTGTTAATTAATATTTCGTGCTGCATCACCTTTTTAAGTTCACATATTGGAAATTTTATGAAGTATTAGTTTGTTTTTAGAAATTGATTATTTATATGTTTAAACTATATATAAGTGAAATTCTAAACTACATTTTAATGTATATTTGGACATATTTTAAAAATATTTTTAAGATTTCAAGAATAAATTCTGAAAGGGGCGAAACAAAAACTTTTAGCTTTGGAAATGCATTTTATTGAAGCAAACGTCAGCTTAGAAAAATATCAGTATTTATTCAAGTATTATCTAATACAGAGGATTTCTTGTTCTTGCTTGTTGACTATTTGTATACTTCTTAAATAAAGGAAAGACCTTCATTAATGAATTGATCAATAAATTCTTCATTATTATAATCAAAAATAAGTTTGAGAATAAGTCATCGTTAATATCAAATATATCAGCAACTTTTTCATTTTCGTTCTGTGTTTCATTATGATATTTTTCTAAATTTTGTAATTTTATCGGGTTTGTTAAATTTTGAGGTGATGGAATATATTCATTTTGTATCCTATCCCAGTTTTCGCATAACCAGCATGTCAATGCCTCTTTAGATCTTTTTGCGGCACGATCAATTTTGAGATTTAATAGGCTTGCTATGGAAGCTGTTAAATTACGTAAATCAGTCATATTCTTTACTCCAGGAGTTGAATTTAATAATTTTTCCATATAAAAATACAATCTTCCGGCTTTTCTTCTGCGATCATCAACTTTCTTTCTCTCTCTATCGCATATGAAGTTGATATCCTTTTCTTTGGAGGCAATCTATGGACAACTACAATTTGGGGTAGCATCATCTGTTCTGTTTGTTAAAATTTGAGTAATTTTGAAAATTTGAATAGGATATTTATTTTTTAATATGAAATACTAGCATAGTAACAGATTGAATAATTATAACAATAAAAAGGAAAACGTTTATTAATTTGAATGGTTGTAAAATAAATTCAAAGCAACAAATTTATAGAAAATTCAAAAAATTTAGGAAATGAAATTCTTCTATAAAAAGACACTATTTAATATATAAATCAATATTTTAGAGGTAAACAAAGCTGGAAAATTTTCAAATCAAAAAATCAATTTAATTAATTTGCAATTTCGAATTTAATCTCTAATATATTGAATATTCTAGTCAGATGGATATAATTCACATAATAAATACACTTATTAATTTGATTTAATTTAAAAAAAAAATCAATGGAAAACAAACTATACTGCAGAATATAGATTGCTATATAAAAGATATATTCATATTTGATTTCATTTTAACGCTAGTTATATTTCACATTCAGGGAATTGGATTTTTATAAAAAAAAAGTCACTTTTCGTCGAGCATTATTCGGAAAAAATATGTCACTTTTAATAACAATTGAAAACAGACATAATGAATACTAATTAATGGAAATTTAATAACTGATAAATATCAGATGGGTCCACTTCAAAACCGTTGTCTTGCGGCAATTCATAAAAATTCATCGAATTTTTATCATTTTGCATTTTTTCTTTCTTAAGAAAGGTTTAAAGCTACCCAAGTATGGAAGTATCGAATTCAAATTTTCTGCACACCAGCATATTAACGCAGATTTATTTCGGTAGGCTAATCGATCAATTCTTTTATTTATTTTACTAGAAATGCTCTTTATGAACATTAATAAAGAGTTAATGGTAAATTTTCCTCCATAATTGGATTCCAACATCTCTATAACTAAATCATATTTAATTCCGTTTGACCTTAAGCGATTGAGGATCTTTTGATTATCTGTCATCTGTTTGCTTGATACATATTTGATTTTGCGTATTTTTCTTGTACTAATTATATCGTCTATGATCTTTGATGCATTCATATTTAATATTTTTTCAATACAAAATTTTGAGTACCTTTCAATTTTTGAAAGTTGAATAAATTTTCAAAGGATCATACTAATGCGAAAAAATTGACTGGAATATTATTTAAAAAAAACTATCAGAATATCTTAAAAATGTGACATTGTCGGATTGAATTTTAATAATTTTAATTGAGAAATTGCAGCTCAAGATATAGTTTAAGTCATTATTTCTATTTTAAAACCAGTTATGAAATATTTTCAATTCTGTTTCAAATAATT